ACTGCCTGTGGGTGACCGCTGACCTCTGCTCCCGCCCTTTGCATCCACCCTGCTCGCCGCTGGCAATGGCGTCCTCCAGCCCCAAATGCCCATGTTCTCTGAACTGATGTTGTGTGACCAGGGGATGCCTTTAGGAGAATGTTAATTTTGAAGAAAGGGCACAGACACTTTTGAGAATTGGATGCTTTTAAAGTGTCTCTAAGTGACTAAAACTTGCAGTGCTCTAAATCATTGACCAATGTTATGTAGGCATGTATTTGTCTGTAAATGTTTCCTGTTGGTGGTTTTTCCTCTTAGCTGTACATTCAATCTGGGTGTTACATTAGTTTCTTTTGCTGTGAGTCATAGCCTCACAGCCATCAGAGAGACAATTGCTACGTCCACTGAAAATGAAGGCTTGAAACCTTGGAAAAAGAATATCAGAACTCAGAGTGTTGTGAAAGGGTTACCTATCGTATGCACAGAAACTAGCAGCTGGGGGAAAATAGCAATGGGGAGACTGCACAGGAGCAATGGCTAGAGTGTTCCTTACCCTCTTCCAGCTGGAGGGTGGAACCCATGTGGGTTCACTGCAGTCCCTTTATCTGAAGGATAATTAAGCATTGAAGTCTTACCTACATGGCTAGTGTGTGGTTAGGATGCTCAGAGATGGAGCTGAGTGTTGAGACAACCCCCACCACTCTGGGTTTCCACTGTGGTGCTGCAGCTGGGACCGCCTTTCAGCAGGCATCTGTACCAGCTGCTGCCGCTTTTGCTCTTAGCACTCATAAATAGAATTTTCTCCCTCATGAGAAATACCAATGAGACTTAAATTGCTTTGGTGATTTTGATGCAGAGCAATGGTATAGATACTGTGCTGGTTTTAGTAGTATTCATCTTCAGCATCACTAACAGGTAGCCAGTGCAAAACATCACCGTGCACTGCTTGATGACCCTCAGCAGCAGACATTGTTTGGGCAGAGTTTCTTGTTCTCTGATGCTGCAATATACTATGCTCTTTCCAGTGCAAAGACAGTATTCCTCCTTTGTTCTCTACTGGCATCTGCAGGAAAGAAAATCTTCAGTTCCAGGCTGAAATAATTCCTCCTCTGTGGTAGCTGTATGCTTTCAGTGCATTGGAGGCAGAACGTCAGACTTGAACAAGGCCTTCTGCTAAAATGGCTTTTTAGAAGTGTGCTATTAGCACTAACTACATTTTTTAACAACCATGGGGAAGCTGAACAACACCTTGTCAAACAAGTTATTTTGCATTTAAGACTTGTGCTTTTGCAACCGGTTCTCTGTAGTGTCACATCCTGAAATGGGACTTACTGGTGCATGTGGAGCATGGCACATAGATCTGCAGGACCCTCTGACTTTTGGTACTTTTTGTTATTGCAAGTGTCAGCATCATACCTGAAATGAAATTATGCTGGTTACAAAGCCAGGCAAACCTCCTTCTGATGTCCTTGGTCCTATTACCTGCACTGCTAGAAGAGGGATTAAGAGCATCTTGAAGGAGTTAGCTGGGGCAGAGGGAAGGCGATGCCAGGGCTAGGCAGAGTGAGGGTGAGGCAATGCAGTACCACCATGGATGAGATATGCGTGAGCTGGGCCTAAAGAGTCTTGGTTTGGCTGCCAGTCCTCTCAAGTGAGGCTTGACTACAAAATTGTGAACCTCAGGCAGCCAGGAACTGTGATTTCTTGCTTAAAGCTGGTATATATCCTGCCACAGAAACTGCATTAACTCCTTTAGTGACAGTTTGTAGCACAAACCCTGGCTGTTTAATTGGATTTATCATGGCTATTGGGAGCATAAATGTGTTTACAGATTTGTTGTGAAAGCTTTTTTGTGTGTTTTTCTCATAGCAAGTCAACTTCCATGTGGTGCAATTATGTTCAAGATGTTCCCTGTAGCACTGGAATAATGTCAGATTATACTGTGTGTGCATGCTGTTCTTCAAAGGGATTTTATCTGAGGCATGATGCACCGTGTCAGAAGGAGAAAGGGATCTTAAGCTTTTATTAAGAAAGTCATGCAAAGTTTAAAATGCAAGACGACTTATAGAGAAATGCTTGTCTCTGTCTACTGTGAAACTTCTTCCCCATTATCTTCCTTCCTGCTCCATCCCTCTGCCAGAACAAAGTCCATCCACCTGTAGATGCTTCTTGTGCTGCAGCCTTTTCAGCCCAGGAAGGTTGAAACAAACACAGTGAGACATTTCAGAGACAAGAGTCTAAAGAGGAGGGGGAAAAAAAAAAAAAAAAAGAGCTATGACTTTCATTTGGTTTGGAAAGTTTCACAGTTTTTGTTTGGTTTATCATCCCATATAGTTTGGCCTAGAATCTTGCAGCATGTTTGATGGAGTCATACAGGAGCCCCGTGTGAAGGCTGCTCATATTCCCAGCCACGGGGCTGCTGCTGGAGGGATGCCGTGGTATGGGAACTGCCGACAGATGTGGGGGACTACAGCAAACAGAGCTGCACTACAGATGAAGATGTCCCCTTGCGCTCGCTGTCAAATTTTTCTTCTTTTTTTTTTTTTTTATTAACTTGAGTAACAATGCAATTTAACAATGCAATTTCCTGTCTGATGGCAGTTCAGATATTAAATGTCACATCTGCCTAATACTTTCATTCTTAAGTATGACAAGTTTTCCCAGCACTTCTAAAAGAGACAGTTGTGATATGTTTCATTCTCTGCTGAATGATAGTCAGAAACCCAAATTTGTTCTGTAACTCATTATTATTATTATTACTAATTGTTGTTATTAGTAAGCCTTTAGAGGAGTTACTCGGAACAGCAGCACAACACTTCTCCCCACTGTGGGAAAGGTCAGGATTTTCAGATGCCACTGTTTGGAGCCTGTAACCTATTCACTCTGTGTGTCAGTCATAGGCTTTGTTTCAAAGTCACACTGAAGGACAATTTCCAGGGACGTGGCTCTGCTCTCTCTTGCTGTCTCTTTAGTCTATCTCCTCCTTACAATGCCTCTCTGTCCAAGGGCAAGCTGCCCAGCCCTTGGCTGAGGTTGGCGATGCAGTGAACAATGCAGGCATTTGACAACAAGAAACCTCTAAACTTGTGTTCCTGTGACCAGCGAGATGGGTGGAAAGATCAAAGAAGAGGACACACAACTTGGGAGGGTGTCATGGGCTCTGGCATCTTAGGAGGCAAACGGGAGATGGGCTTGGTGCCTGTGATGCACAGAGCATCGCTGTTGCAACAGACAGAATATCTGTGCTGCAAAAATGCATGCAGAAAGGCAGGAGGAGCTTGCAGCTGTGCTTAGTCTGCCTCTCATTGAAGAGATCCTGGCAATTAACTTGCCTTTCTGTCATAAGCACTAATGAGGTAGGGGAGGGGGAGAAAGAACACAAGCAGATTGGAAATAAGTAGAAAGGAAAATCCATATGGCAATTGGTCACTACTAATAAAGGTGAGAGATCCCTGGCAATCAGATTTCTGGTGGCCCTCTGCAGATTCACACCAGCTGAGAATCTGGCCTCAGAAGCAGAGTGGCAGCAGAACTGAGAGCAGAGTAACCATGTATGCAAGCTCCAGGTAATATTTCTCACTGGCTTTGTAAACCCAGATCTGCACATCTACTTTGCTGATTGATTTGGCCTTGATTTTAAAGGAAAAAAAAAAAAAGGCCTGAAGCTCTGTGCAGGTATGTAAGAATGTACCCAAGAATGTAGAAACACACCTTTGTGGGCTCAATCAGGTAGGTATTTGCCAAATTTTCCAAGAACAGTTTGTATGTTCAGAGAAAAATTGCCTTCAAAAGCACAAAGTATACTTTATGGAAGCTCAGTGTCCAGGCCATTTTACAGAATTTGGGTTTTTACTCTGCTTCAATCTGGTTAAAAAGCCTGAGAGATGAGCCATGTAAAAATATTTCACAAGACCTGTGAGTCATGTAAAATCCTATCACATTTTTCCCTGTAGTTGAAATCACAGAAGTTACGAATGGTAAAAGAGCTATTAAGTCACAGATAAAGAATGCTGCATGATGGATTGGTGAAAATAAATAAATGAAACCCCCTAGTTTTCCTCCAGCTTCTAACTCCCCAGGCATGAATTCAACAGGTAAGAGTATTGCAGCTCACACTCAGAAAGGAGTGGCATGCAGCTGTATCCCTTGCAGACTGCTATTCCTTCTCTTGGTTTCTTTACTGCTCCAGGCAAATGGAGATTTTAATACCACTCCTTTATCTACCACAGTTAATTTCCCCACCCTGTACCAGCTCAACTTCTCTGGCAGGTATGTTGGGGGATGGGGGACCCAAGCTTTCATCTGCTCCCAAATCTTCTGTTAACAAAATTGCTCGTTTGTGATCCCACAGAACCTGCTCCGTGCCCGGAGCCATCTGGGCAAGCAGGTAGGAGGTGACACCGTGTCCGTATAACTTGGCTCTACCACTGCTGCAACTTCTGTAGTGTTAGGATACCTGTATCCCCTAGATATTTTTATTACTAGAATAAATCTGCCTGGAACCACTGCTGGGTTCTGTGGGTAAGTGCTAGGTTGGCCTTTCAACTTTTTTTTTTTTCCCATACTTATTTCTTATGCCACTCTAATTGTTGAAATCCTTTTCCTTTTAGTTTCTTTTCCTTGAAATGCTGTTGTCAGATTTCCCAGACATTGTGTTTCTTGTTGGCTAGGAAATTCTAAAGACTGAGAAGGAACTGAAGGAAAGCACTAGGCAGGGGGTCTTACGTGACCATAAACCGTAAAATCATTTAATCTGAGGGAAAGTCTCACTTTCTATTTCAGTCACTGGTTTTGGAGCATGTATTGGAGGTCAGAAGTTACTTTTGGCACAAAGAAACAATTTCAAATAATAGGAAAACCATGCAAATTTTTCCAGTATTTTGTGAAAAAAATGAGAGAGAACCATTATTTTTCATTGCTTACATGGTTGAAATCTGTATGATTAAAGTGGCTGCTAGTTGAGGGAATATAGTGTAGTTTTTTCAGGTTCCCATTTTCACACATTTTTTTCTTTCCCACAGTCACTTCATTCTCTCTCTAACCAGCTCCTGCTGGAGAGAAGACAATGGGAAAAAAAGAAAAGAAACACAAATCACTGTGTCATCAAGTTAGAATTGCACACAATGTTTTTGGTGACATCCCTCGGAGCTAGATCTCTGTCACAACAAGGAACCCCAAACCCTGGTCCTCAGTTAGCATAGTGGGGAGAAAGCAGGGCTCACCAAGCTTTCTTGAGCCTAATCAACTTATCTATGCATTGTAAGGGAGACACTTAGCAGCAACCTTTGGGCATTCAGCTTCTTCCTTATTCCTCACCACTCTGTAGGATCTGCCATCTGATCTTCCCTTTAACAGTACATGTGAAGGGTCAGTAACACCCTTGAAACATCCTTTCATGTAAAATTAAACGTGTCCTGCTTTCAGAGGGTTGCAAAATTCCACACATTGTAATGAACTGCGATACTAATTTATTGTAAAGTATCTTTCGTGTATGTTAACTTAATGAGCTAGGTCTTGCCAATGCTAAAAATAAGTCTCATTGTAGAAAAGGCTTATGGAATGAGCAAAATTGCTCATTCCCACAAAAATGTCATCTGTTGTCAAAACCATTTAATCATGTAACATCTCTTAGCTCTCTGCTTCTTGTGAAGTAACACCAGACCCACTTACCCCTGCTCCTGCAGGTAGTGGGTCTACTGAGCAAATTTAATGCCTTGTACAGTGAGGATGCTGATGTAAGACTTCTGAAAACAGGCACAAAGATGTATTGATTTTTTAAAATCAACTTGAGGTAAATACCTGGCATGGAAAGCTTTAATCCAAATGATTAAAGTTTAGGAAGACCAAAGCATGTCAAAACAGGGTTTCATTACAGGAAATGTTAGGTAAGAGATGAAGCTCTCAGCCCTTCTAGTAATCGTTACCTTAAAATGGATCAGCACCTTAAGAAGTTCATATATTGTTCTGTCTTTGAAAAGCTGGCAGATAGTGAACCTTGCAGTTGTCTATGTATTTACTCAAAGGTCACCATGTCTTTTCTGCTTTGTTTCTTAGCAAACCCCTTGGAAGAGGTTCTGCATGTATTTTAGTTCCATTCAATACCTGTATGTGACCTTTCTCACTGATGTCAAACTTGCACAGAGGAAAGCAAGCTGCAGGCTTTGCTTTTGTCTGTTTGTTGCTAAATCCCAGGTCTCATGTCTCTTTTGGCCACCAGTTGCTTTCTGACAGTTCACAAGGCAAGTCTTTGTTCCAGTTCATCCAGCTACCACTGGTGCTCTCTGAGGCACCACCACCTAGGTCATATAGTAGGAAAAGACAAAATTTACTGCTGTACCTCAAGAAAGGAGCTAGAAGAAGAAAATGGTGGGACTCCTTGCTCTGGATCCAGTGGAGGTGGCCATGGGACTGGTCATGGCTGTCATAGCCAGTGATGCTGTGATGCATCCAGCTGATGCTCCCAGCTGTCTCAGCAGGGTTTACTTTGATGCAAGGATGTGAGGTGAGCAGTTGTCTTTGTGGATTAGAGGAAGAAAAGTTGTGGTTTATTTGTGTGTCAGTAGCACCAGGATATCCCAAGCGTGGGTCAGAACTGTTGTGCTGGATCCTGTTGACAACTGCAGTTTTAAGAGATCAGAGTATGCTGTGTGGATTCAGCAGGTATAGGCAGTGGGGATCCGTTTGATGAACAGATACAGACTTCAGCAGAAATAAATAAAATTCCCTTTTCCCAAGAAGAGTGACTTGTAGGCATTGTGGCAGGACTGCCTTAAAAGACAGCAAGATGCTCGCTTTATACCTTTGAACAGATGTTTTGCCATGGGAAGAGCACTCTCTGAAATGCAAAGTGTGTGTTTCTTGGTTATTGTGCAGTGGATTTTCCCTGTGCTGGCTTGTCACCATGGCGCTGGACTAGGAAAGCTGCAGATCAAAAGCTTTATGGAGCTGTACAGATGAATTGTTTCTGCTTTCATCGTCCATTTGAAAAACAAAATCTAAATGGAAGATGAGAATCTGCCCACTTTAGGTTCCTATGCAAGTAACTGTAGGACCAGGCAGCAGCAAGGTATTTTCTCAAGGACGAGTAGATGGTTGGGCCTCTTCGGGAAATCTGCAGCAAACAGCTCATTCAAAAATAACTTTCTGAGGCTATGGGAAGTGGGTGAAAAGAAATAGCTAATGAGAAGGAGAAAACACTGATGAAAGGAAGTGTTTTATCTGATATCAGAAACTGTTGGCTTTCATTCTGATCCTGTTGTCTTTTCTGTATATAGCTTTTAGAGTGCCCTTAAATCTCCTCAAAAGGTTATTACTTTTCCAGTGGCATTAGAAAGGCTGAAATGATATTTGCAACTGAGGGTAAGTGACTCTCTTGAGGTTTTGGCACCCACAGCCCCAGTTTAACTGGAAATGTAGACAATTAGTAAATCTGAAAATCAGTGCCTCTTGGCCCTGCATGGTCCAGAGAAGCCAACCTAACTTTTGTGAGTAGTAGGACCAGAGCAGGATCACAGTATATGCTGTACAAGGGACATATACCTGGAAAAATTAAGGCCCCAGAATGAATGACAGCTTATGAGGTGGTGGCCTCTGGTCTTTTTGTCCAGACCTTCTCATCCGTGAAAGTCATGGAAGCTCTGCCATTGGTTGCATTGATGTGAATAGCAAGACTTCCCTTTCTGGTATTGGTTTTGGCTCACCAGAGGTGTAATTCTTACAAAATTCTGTAATTTAAAATCACCTCAGGTTTCCAGTTCCCAAAGTAAAAGAGCTCCATTCAAGGTCTGGAGTAGATTAAAGCACTGACTGCTAATCCAGAACTTGTTCTTGAGATGCTCCACCAGTAGGGAGATGGTTTCAGCCATGATGAGGTAAAAGGCCAGGGTGGACCTGGCAATCAAAAACTGCTGCAGGAGACAAAAGGGTAATACCAATGAGGTATGTGTATATTCATACTCCCATATACACAGCTATATCTCAACTGTGCAGAAATGTTCTGTTCCTCGCCAGCAGTTACTAACTCACTGTTTTCCTTCCAGAAAGAAAATCCTTGACAGACTTGAAGTGATGACTCCACTTTCTTCCATTCCAGCTGCCACACAGACATGTACATTGGTCCCTCATTGGACCAGCAAATTTGAATGTCTTCTTGTTCCATGTCTGCCCTATCACTTATCAGTTACTTGTTGTTGTGGTATGGCAGGGTCATCTTCTCTCAGCAGACACTGTAATTGTTTTTACAAGGAGAAAGAAAATACTCTGCTGATAAGCAGTGGTACATGTCTAGGGAAAATGTCAGCACTTAAACCTGAGTCTTGCTTTTCCCTCTGAGTTGTCATTGCTGGATCCTCTGCCCTTCCTTACAAGTGGGTTTGAGGAGGTGGTTGTTTTGGCTGGAATTGGAGAGGCACAGGTGGTACCACCAGCTGTAAATTGGAGGAGGCACTTCCTGATTATGACCACTGCCTACACGCAGATCATTGCCAAGAGAGGAGCTGGAAGGCGCAGAAGCCTTCTCCTTACTTGGAAAAAGGGCCTGGAGGATAATCATCACTCCCCTCTCCCACAGGCGTTCACCTGTAGCCTTCAGGCTTCTTTGCAAGCACTGGGCTTCCCAAAATGCTGTGATGTGAATAACCCTCAGCCGTCATTGAGACATGGACAAACTGAGGCACTGACTATTTAAATTCCTGCATCTAACGTTTAGGCACTTGAGGCTGTATAAGGGTACTGGGAGCTCAGGAGATGCAAGTACATGGTGCATGTGCAAGCGAGCTTATTTTTTTTAAGGGACCTCAGCATGGATTCAGATGTCTGCTTAACCATGGCAAAATGAGCAGTGAATAACTCTTTGATCTCTGCAAGGTCGAGATTTTGCCCTCCAGCTTTAAATGTCAGTGGTGAGAGGCTTGTACCAAGCTGCAGAGCAAGTATGCACCAGGCTGTCCTGTGAGGAGTTTGGCGTGTTGTGCTTGGGGGGTGTTTTCGGAGGGCGCTGCTGGCTACCTGCATAGGCAGGACCGTCCTGGTCTCAACTGCGAGCACGTACCACCATTTGCAGTTATGTATCTTTATAGCCACATTACAATTTCTTAATTATTGCCAGGTGCCCATGTCTCCACCTTCACATAATGGAGACCTCTGTTGCTGGCCCTAACTTGTCTTGTCTTCAGGAAATTTGGGGTGCCTTGTCTCCTCATCTGCTGAAAGCCCTTTCCCTGGTATGATCCCTTGGCCCACTGCTGCCTTGTGATCTTGATTTTCATCTTCTGTCCTAAATGTGGGTCCACTGGCACAGCAAGCGAGGAAGAGGCGTCAGAAGATTAACCCACCACCTCGTGCTCCTCGCCCACGCATGCGAGGAGAGAGACAGATTAAAAGATTAAAGTTACAAACTGAAAACCCCCTCGGGCCACTGATGAGATCCGAGCGCCTGGCTGGGAAGCCAAACTCCCACTCCGGAGGTGCGGTGCCACGCGTGCTGTCGCTCACACCAGAGCTGCCGGCTCCTGCCATCCCTTCCTGCTGCTGGCTCCAGCTATTTTTACAGAATTAAATAATAAACCAGTTTTTCCCCAAAGGAGGGTGCTGAGCAATGCCTTGGCCATACCCAGCAACTCAAGGAGGTGGTTTTAAGCTTCTCCTTGTTGCACTCCTGAGCTTTTGGGGTTTGCAGCTTCCACCAGTTGCTCTTACTTCAGCTGCTGGATTGCTTCAGTTGGGATGAGGGCCAGGGCTGGCGTGGAAGGGGTGGCAATCGGCAGCCACTGATGGTGGGTTGCAAGTCCTTTAATGCATTCCTGTGCCCCTTCATAGAAGTCTCATACCACTAGATATGCTCACAGTTAGTGTATTTTCTCACTTTTTTTTGCCCCTTCCCCATATCTTCATTAGGACTGGACAAAGAATGGTCTTTTTGGTTTTGTGGCTGAAAGGCACAGAAGTAAAACTGTGTTCCGAACCACAAGTACTATTGCCACACCCGTGTCTGTATTTTTTTAATTTGACCGAAGCAGTGAGTCTGAGCCAAGATGATGATTCCATCATCATCACAATACTTGGCGTACTGAGCTCACAAAAGTAATTTTTCCTCATTTTTTTGTTTTGTTGCCTCTGTTTTTACATTTTGGGGTGCTTTTTATCAGAAACAGACCATTTTAAAGCAGCAAGTTCAGGCCTGCTATTTTGAAAATGTTGAAATGTTGTATTTTGACATCTCAGAATTTGTTGTTCCTCCTCTTCTCTGTGCTTTTCAGATGAAGCTCTTTGTCAGACGCAGGCTGAACCTGTGAAGATGTTCATTTCCTCCAGGGTTCCATGTTTCATCACTTTTCCCAGCTATCACGTTTTTCCCAGCTCTTCCCAAGTGCTTAGGTGACACCGGAGTGGAGTGAGTACCAGCACCTTCTCGTCCTTGCATGCAATAGTGTGGTGGTGTACGTGGTGGCCAGTTTGACTATAAACTGCCCGTCGGCTGTAGAAGCACGCACTGCTGGGGTCTGTGCCTCACAGGAGCACGGCAGCAGGACCTGCACTTCCCAAGGGATTGAAAGAGGCATGGCCCAAACACCACACAGGTGCAACTCTAAAATGGAATATTTTCCAGGTTTGTACCTGTTTTGATGAAGACTAAATGAAAAGTTTTAGCAAAGTCTTGTTTTATGAACAGTATGCTTGCGCAGGTCTCTCTGATGAATCTGTATCCTCCAACTGATTATAATTAGTCCACTATTTTAGTTACATAGGATTAATCTAATTCAAATGGCTAGATGAAATTCTTTGATCTTCAGGGTACAAGAGGTGAGACTATGATGATTTTAAACAGTTGCTCCTGGCCATAAAATTTATTCATTTGAAAATCAATAGAAAGATATCACTTGCCATATTGATGAGATAACTTCCTCCGCTACTTAGCCCTGACCCCGTTCTCCTGGTTTTCACCCTCCTGTCAAGTTTAAATATCTTTTTTTCTGTAAGCTGCTCTCCACCCCATCCTGCATGGCTTTCTGTGTGTGTGGGGTACCGTCTTTTCCTTTTGAAGCCGCTTTCTGATTTACATGCACCAAGCACACAAACTTCTTCAAACCTCTTTTCCCAACCATGTATTCAGTCAGGTGTTGTAGCTGCCAAAAATACATCCTGCTCCATATTTGTTCTTCTGTGCATTGGATGAATTTATAGGTCTAGTATTTTGGAGACTGTAAACTTTCTGAGGCATGGTCTCTAACAAGTGCTGTCGTCTGTTCAGCAAGTCCTGCCCGTTGCACAACGGTATGAATATTTATGATGTTAAATAATAATCCTTGCCTCTGACCCAGCACTCTTCATCAGCAGATCTAGAATTGCTTCACTGAGGAAGCAGTCAAATCGTTATCCTTATTTCCAGATGGGGAAACTGAGGTGCTGCAAGGTCAAATAAGTTGTCTGATGTTGGCAGAGGAGACCCAAAAAGGGAGTGCAGCCGTCTCTGGCCCTGGCAACATGGTCCAGCCTCTGGACCCTGCAGCCTGCTCAATGACAGCTAATAAACTTTGTGTTTATGCAATGCATTTTTCTCTTCTCTATTAACAGTGAACAATTCAAGTGTTTTCTTCACAGGCGTTAATAACCTCCTTGAGAAATATGTTTCGACATGCATTCTTAGCAGTACTTCTGCGTGTGTTGTGTGCCAGCTAGCAGATGTGACCTGCTAGAAAGAGGCAGACTGGGGTGAGGGGGAGAGGTGGCACCTCCACCCCTGCGCCCCACTCCTCCTCCTCCTCCTCCTCCGCTCCTCCGGTGGCAGTCGGGGAGGCTGGGGACCGACCACAGAGACGTTCTGCGTGAAGCTCCTCGAAGAGCTGTACCAGCTGCTGTGTTGGCAGCCTTGGAGTTGCCTCTGGGTCTGACTTGCCGTCTTGTCTCCCTGAACGTAATTGCTCGCTGCTGATTTATTTTTTTTCTTTCCCTTTGATTCTGTGGCACTTGTATCCTACTCGGATTCCTCGTCAATCTTGCAATCTGGGGAGTCTGAGGAAATGGAGAACTGATCATCTGCAGATTTTTTCTGTATATTATGAAAGTGTCCCTATGCCATGTGTGATTCCCATCTTTTTTTTGTTTAATCAGATAGAACATCAGAGAGTCAGACTGTACCAGCGAGGTCTGTGCGCTGAGCAGGGAAGGAAGAAGCCGCTTCTGCAGAGATGCTCCCTGCTCCGTAGAGGTGACAGCACATCTATCACTTCCCCCTTTCTAACCCTGTGCTTTACCTCCCTATGCCCCATACTGATCAGCCTTGCAAATTTTCTGTGGTGGAGCATGTCACCTCCCTCGCAGAGTCCGCTGGGGCAGGGCTGCTTCAACAGCAATGGCTACAGGGAGTCCCTGAGGCACAGCAGAACATGTCCGCCTGGAATCCTGCACGTGCCACTGATGAACTCGTTTCTCATTCTTTGGAGGTCTTGAAGAATCAAATCACTTCATGTAATTGGCCAGAATTCTAATAATATCCACCCAGGTACCTTAGCACAATGGTACAAGAAGCATGTGTAGAAGGTCAGATGAGTCTGTCTGGGTGAGTATGCACTTTGTGCGTTACATTGAATGTTCCTCACAAGTTTTTCAGCACTCTGTAGGGCCTGTGTCATGAAGATCAGACTAGACAGTCCTCACGCTAGGTAAGGGTCTTAAAATTGTGCATTTATTCCCTAGCTTGCAACCATTTTAGGAAAGAAAAGAGGTCTGAAACAGAGGTTGTCTTGTTCTGCTACCTCTATCACTGGATCCACCTGGTCTGTTTACTTTCTTAGCGTTACAGTTTCTTGCTTCCACTTACCTACTCTCAGTATACTACAACCACTTCAAAATAAAAATATAAAAGCATGGAAACAGCTATAAGATTACCAGAATGCTCTTCATCCCGCCCTTCCCATTTGCACAAGGCAGACATCTTCTGAAGGAGACTTTTACCTCCAGGTGTCAGGACATTTGGGAGAGGGATCAGAGTTGGTACTGGTTTGTCCTCTGTGGGACGTAAACAGAAACAGTACCTGGGCAGGAAAGTATTTGAATTTTAATGCTAGGACAGTGCTAAAAAACACTGTAAAAACACTTCCCTGCTTTTCGCTGGGGAAGTCTCAATTTGTCTCATCGGCTGCCTCTGGCTTTTTGCCCAGCGTTCTCAGATCTACTGGTGAAGGGAGACAGCAGAGCACGTTTGTCCTATTCCTCTTCCCCAGCGTGAGATGCCAGACTGGAGCAGATACGGCACCCTTCCTGGTCTAAGCACGCACTGCAGAGGGGGGCTACAGTCTACTCAGCCCTCTCCTACATCTGTCATGATATATTCTGTAGCCCAGGACAGGGCTGAGTTACACCACATTTGCTGGCAGCTATCAGAAGCAGAGCTAAGTCTCACGAGCACCTCTGCAAATCCATCTGCATGTTTCCGAAGCAGTGATCTTAGTCTCTCTCTCTAGGGTAGGCATGCACAGGTCCAGATGTGCAGGATCTCTGCCCCAGTCCCAGCACAGGGGTTTGCCATGGGTGGACTTCAGAGGAGTCCTGGGAGCTTCTTGCAGAAGGGTTTTGCATTGAGCATCCCCAGGGAAAATTTGACTTCCCATCTTGATGGGTCCCATCCCTGCTCCTTTTCTCCATGGGAGTGGCTGCATTTCTGTTGCACAGGATGCATGGTATATAAAGCATTTAGGACGAAAAGTCTATAGAAGTGTGATACTAATAATATTTTACAGCTTTAATTACCATGATTGTAGTGCCTAGAGGCATATGCAAAAACATTTTGAGTGGGAGGAGAGAAGGCAGCGCTGTGAACATTTTTGTGGTTTTGCTGGGCAATGTGCAATTGAGTTTTCTCATGGGAACCACAGCATGCCAGGGAGAAAAGCTGCCTCTACCTCCTTGTCTGCTCCATCGGGATACTGGATCACACCCCAAAGCCGAGGAGACAACCACAGTCACTCCAGTTTCAGGCAGCAGCTGGGCTGATCGTGCCTCTGCTTTGCGGAGGGGTTCCAGGTGCGGGTGCTGCCCGTTTCTGCAGGCAACAGGTATTTTTCCTCGGGCAACGTCCCTTCCCTACAGTCAGCAGCAGTTTTGCCTGCGGGGTGATTTCAGGATTGGGCAACTGCCGATTTGTGGCGTGGATTTGCCAGCAGCCTCAAGAGCAGCGGTGCCTGCTTCTCGGTCAGGGTACGCAAGGCTGAGGGAGCCCTGGCTCCCACCGGCCGGCCGCCCGTGCCACGCATGGGCAGGGGAGAGGCAAGGGGATGCACAGAGGGGCCTGGTGTGGCTGGGCGAGCCCCCCAGAGCCCTTCCCCGCGGGAGGCTGCACGGCACTGCCACCAGGCCTAACCCAAAGCCACAAGCTCGATGCTCACGACTAACTAAAAAATTGGAAAACACCCTACACGGGAAGGCAAGTTTTTAGAGTTTATGTGTTACAAAATAAAGACTATACAGAAAAAAGATGGTTGCATTTCCCTAGCTACGGCATGCAGTCCTGCATCTATAGAAAAATATTTAAAAAAAACTTGTGCCTAGATTGCATATTAATTTTTAGATGTATTTCTGTAGTTTCTGTGATGGTGATTTGCTGTAGGTTCATTATTAAGATGGTACAAAGGTGGTATTTTAATTCTGTTTGAAAAGCAGAAAGAAATTCTATTTTATCTGGACATGGTTACCAAAGAGTCAGCTGGCGACTGAGCTTCCTGGCTGGCCGGTCCCTGCTCAGAGGAACAGCCACAAGTTGCAACGCCGCCTTCCGATAGCCAGGCTGTTGATTGGAAGGCTACAAAACCTGAAGAGAAACCCTGTGTGATAGGTGTTCCCAGCTGTGGGAAGAGTCAGACGTTGCTTACAAGACAAGCATATTTTATTGAGGCTTTTTTTCCTCACTCTCTAATCCCCCTCCTTAATCCTTTTTCTATTGCTTGCACTAAGTATGATTTACATTATTAAAAACTCATATTTGAATCTAGTCTCCATCTGTTAAATACATGGTATCATCTGTCCTCACTCGATTTGAGATTTGGTATTTTGTATGGATTTTTGTATGTCTGTATTGTGTACAGATTAAAAAACCTAAAATAAGAAATTCTAATGAAAACACACCATCTTTAAAAAACTTTTAAAAAACCTTAAAAAAGGGACCAAGTTTTGACCCTCGCCTCACCAAGACTAGTGGAAGGAGCAAGAATTCAATTTCCCATGGTCACATTACAGTTTGTGCATCAGGTTTTTACGAAGAAAAATCTACCACTGGGTAATCAAACGGCTAATGGAGCGGAGCTCATGAAGCTGCAGATAGAGATCCTCGACGTCACCGCCTGAAGCCACCCGAGGTGTCACCATTAGCTGGTATCACCGCTGCACCCCAGCAAAAAGGCAGCTTAGTGAAGTCCGGCTTCAGGTGGGCAAAAAAGGCAGATGGACTTTGCTCCTGCTTGCCATTTTGAGTTGTGCCACCTGCCACGCTGCCCCAACGCACCCCCAGGCTGCGATGTGCTATCTCATCACCTCACTGCCCCGTCCCTCGCCAGGTGTGCGGGTGTCCTGCCTTCAGGTGGGCACTTCCCAAAGGGCGGGCGCGGGGCGGCGGTGGGTGCTCCCGGCCACGGGGCGCCTCAAGACCCGCAGGTGGCAACACCAGAGCGTGGCCGCGGAGCCTCCCTTCCCCACCGTGCCTCGCGTGGGTAACCACCAGACTGGTTGGCTGGTGCGTCTGGGGTGCACGGGGCGAGGAGGAGGGGGAAGGTGTTCGCCCCAGAGAGGCGACGGTGTCCTGCAGCCCGGGTGATGGGTGACTCAGGCATCGAGCCCAGGGGCGGCCGGTAGAAGGCGTCACCCTCCGCGGAGAGCCCGGCCCGGGGACAGCGTGCGGGCCGGGCACCCCTGCAGCCCGCGGGGAGGGCGGCCCCGGCT